CCCAAGAGAACGGGCAGTACCTATCCCGGCTTTAACAAGCCGATCGGGAGTCAGGTAGGTCATGATATCACAACATTTGTCCTTCTCCACAGTGAGTACGTCCTTATAGATTTCCTCAGTGAGGATTGGGTCGGGAGTCTTGCGGGGAAAGGCGTTCCATTTATGAGGTATCAACCCATCCGGGATAGACACGAAGAAAAACCTTTCTTTCCATCCCTTGATTGAGGTTGGATTGCCTTTGAATAGAATGTGGCTCGTTCGGGAACTAGCGGCTAGGTACCCATGAGTTTGTTGGGGGGCTACTTTGAAAAATTGATGAAATAAATCTAAGGTCGGCGAAGCACCGACATCTTTACAACGACAGATAAAGCATGCCATTGCCCGATAGGAGTTCGGCATGACTTGGGCAGGTACAATTTCATAAAAATTAAAAAATGAAATAAAAAAGGGATGTAACGGAAATCTAAGCCCATCCCTCACTGAATCAAAATGTACCACGATCATCCCAGGGGCGTGACGTAGGGGATGAAGCCCAGCTTGCAATCAAAAGTCCACTGGGTCTGGGATTAGGGCCGGAATTTCGGCCCTATTATTGGCAGTCAATTTCTGCCGTCTTGCCCTAATTAAACCTAGGTCGAGGGAATGACGGGGGACATCTTTTGGCCGTCCAGACGCCATTAAATCCATTTCATCCTCGGATTTTGTGCCATAAGAGCTTTCACCAGAGGAAGATGAAGCGCTAGGAAGGTCCTCCGCCTCAGCCCTAGTATTTGTCGCCGTTTCAGAAGAACCACCGGCGAGTGGGACTGTGATGACATCCACAATAGCAGCGTCACTGTAACACCCCGGCTTGTGACACCCCCAAATTTTCCACCCAAAATAATACTTAGAAATAGAGATGAACTTTTATTTAATGATTAAAACTTCAAAAGTTGCAGCGGAAATTAATAAAACTAAGTAAAAGGGGTATGTCACCGCCACATCCAATCCGTGAATGATTGGATGCTAAGGCTATCTACCAAAACACGAGTTTAACAAAAATCAAGATGTTCGAATCATAAGAAAATATTAAAGTTTATTTCTAGTGAACTACATAATTGTCTTCTAATTCGCGCTCTCAAACATTGCAGCATCAAAATCATCATGATCACCTCCTGTTAAATACGAGCACAAGAAAAATAAAAGAAAACAACCATTAGCAATAATGCTAAGTAAGTTCCACCTAACCTTTTAAAATAATAATAAATAATATATATAAATTCGTACAACCTCATAAAATATTTTTCAACACTTTATAAACCATAAATCACAAGTAAACGATATCTATATAAAATCCCAATCACATAATTAACTCGTAAACCATAATAATTCCAAAATACATGAAACACCAAAATTCTCCTCTTTTGAATTTCTCCCAACATCACTTTGTATCTAACTTCCTAGTAATTTAGAAGGGCGGTGCTCAACACTTTGGTTGAGCCCGGTGGTCCGTTGTTATATACGGCCACCCCGGAACTATCACCGGTACCACAACTGCTCCTTGGAAACGGAAACAACTACTTTAAGTGTGCAAGCCCTCCGGATTAGTAAGTCGATCCGGGTAGCCGGGATGTTTTCTACCAACTACCCCACCTCAAAACCTGAATGATTAGGAGCTACTACTACCACTACTACTCAAAAGCCGGGATGTTTTCTACCGACCGACAATTCACCTCAAACCAACACAAACCAAAAATTGAGTAGTAGTAGACCTAACCATCCTCCACATTTTAAGGGACGTGGAAAACCAACACCACGGATTTCTCCCGTGATGCTCAACTTTTATGAAAATATTTATTTTTCTCTAAATCAATCGAAGTTTATACTTCAAAAATTCCCTTTTTATCAAACTCCCACAAAGATAACAAATTACGTACTATTACAAAATATCCCAAAATCGTATACAATAATTCATATCAACAAAACAGTACATCAACTAATATCTCAAATACAACCCTTTCATATAATAATATTCACTCGAATTCAGCACACATAAATTCAATTCTCAAATATGCACACAAAAATATGTAAAAGAAATCACGAAGAAAAAGAACTAATATCGGTTGACGTGAAACTTACCTTAAATCCAAATGCTCCTACTTCTCTTCTTCAATTCCAGTCTCTAAATGAGCACCTTTTCAATTTAGATGATATAATTAGTCACTTAGTCTATTTATTTAAATTAGGCCATATAAGACTAGTTAAGTAATTAAATAAGGAAATATTAATATTAATCGTGATTATTGAATAAAAATTTAGATGTTGTAGTTAATTACCCTGTAACACCCCGGGGCCCCACACGACCCGAGGTAGTTACTCTAGATACTCTTCAGACCTCTAGTACTGTCCCCACAAACCACCACGAGCCTTTACCGCGCACTTTGTCCTCACTCATGTGCGCCCTAGACTTCCCAGGGGGTCACCCATCCCAAGACTACTCCCGTGCAAGCACGCTTAACTTTGGAGTTCTTGGGTGATGAGCTCCCTTAAAAGGAGATGCACCTCTGTTGGTATGAGTAGTACTATTAATCCTCTTATATTAATCTCGGGTATTACAATCACCCCCACTTAGGATCGCAACGTCCTCGTTGCGCCCTTAACAATCTCAATCAAACCTCAGAATCTTGCCCCGCTAAATGCCCGCCCGATATCTAACGGGTTAGTACACTGTCGCAGGGTTGCTCTGATACCACCTGTAACACCCCGGGGCCCCACACGACCCGAGGTAGTTACTCTAGATACTCTTCAGACCTCTAGTACTGTCCCCACAAACCACCACGAGCCTTTACCGCGCACTTTGTCCTCACTCATGTGCGCCCTGAGAAACTTCCCAGGGGGTCACCCATCCCAAGACTACTCCCGTGCAAGCACGCTTAACTTTGGAGTTCTTGGGTGATGAGCTCCCTTAAAAGGATATGCACCTCTGTTGGTATGAGTAGTACTATTAATCCTCTTATATTAATCTCGGGTATTACAGTCACGGTCATCTCCATGGGAGGCCATCTCCGAATCAGGAGAATGCTGCTGAGAACTCATCTCGACCGAGCCAGAAGTGAGGAGAAAGAACAGAGGGAGGAAAGGTACCTGAGCGACGAAAGCTGGGAGAAATTTCAGAGGGAGCAACGATGCGAGGGAGATTGCAGAATCGAAACCCAGATTTGAAAGGTTAAGGGCTAACTTATAGCCTTTAAATTGCCGTATCGAGGACCAATCATGAAGCGACACGTCATCAGAAGCATTTAAGCTAAACGCGTGTCCAATGAAAAGACTAAACGACGGTTAACATGATAAAAATGGGGAAATGAAACGACAGCCGTCAAATCACAGCATGGGGAACTGACTACTTCTGATCCCCGATCGCCATTCGGCGATTTTCAACATTGGTGTTCATACTTCCTAATGCACTCACTGTCATTCGAGACATCGGAAGTGGGGGACTTGTGTTGGGATATTGATCCAGAGGCTCAATACCCGGATCAAGAAGGCCCAAGATACCCGGCCCAAACAATGGGCCCATCACTCTATGATGAGTAGATCCAGTGAAGATTTCATGCCGAACGAGATTCGGCCCAAGTAAGGGTTGGCCCAGTAAGAAGACATACCGAATGGAGTTCGGACTATATATCATACTTGGGCCAATTTGACAGCGTCTTCAGCATAGTCCAACATCCCGTTCGAGCAACGGACAACCGGCAAGTGGCCAGGTGCAATTAATGCCAGATTGTGACATCAGCAAGTGGAAACATGGGTGACCAAGTCGGTGGAACAACAGCCAATCAGCATAGGGCGGCCCATGCTCTCCATTAGTATAAATAGAAGGTTCAAAATCATTGTAAGGGTTAGCATTTCAATACTCAGGCTCTAGAATAACATCATTGCTCTTATTTCTTGTATTAAAGCATTGTTTCCGACCTACCGACCGGGAATTTCCTTGTAATCAGATTGGTTAATTAATACAAGTGAGTTTTCGAGTATTAGTGAGTTCATATTTTATATTTTAGTTATACACTTTGATTCTGTACCATTCCTGATACATCCAAAGTTCGTGTTGGGCTTTCGGATCTACGAGATTTACCTTCAACAACTAGTTAATTAATTAATGACTTAATGTAAGAAAGTGATAGTTATAATGAACACTAAAATTTATGATTCATAAAAAATGATATTAATAACCAACATAAGTGAGTTTTATGTTACTTTTGTGATTTGATTGGCTAAAGTTATTATAGAAGATCATTGTAGTTATTTTCAGTAAGATTTTTTCTTTGTTTATCATTAAAAAATATTTTGAATATAGTATCTTCCGCAAATCAACAAACTTGTAAGGTCGGCAGGTTTAGCTAGAATTTATTTAGTTTCAATAGATTTATCCCATTTAACCGATTTCAATGTTACCAATTGTGTATAAAAATATTATCTCATCTCTTAAAATTTGGCCAAGTTTGACCAGTACAAGGAATTATAAAGTTAAAAACCGTGTTATTAAAGTTTGTGCAAAACAAACAGAATTAACAGAAACCACATTTTTTTTAAATAAAAGAAAAAACTACAAAATTAGCGAGACAACAAAAAGAGAAAAGTTGACAAATTTATAAAGAGTAATATTTGAAGAGCCCGTTTGGTAACACTAAAATTGGCTGAATTGGCTGATCTGCTGAAATTTATGAAGTTTTGGGTGATGTGGTTGTATTGGCTGATTCTGTTTATTCATGAAAAAATTATATTTAAAATATTTGTTATTAATAAATTAAATAAAAAATTATATGAAATTTTTTTAAAAATGATCCTCTACGGTAACTTCAGCCAATACTGCCAGAAAAGTAATCTCAACCTTAGTTTTTCTGCATATTACAAAATTCAGCGTGCGAAATCAAAAGTTACATGTTTGGTGAAAAGTCGACTGATAAACCTGATAAGCCGAAAAAGAGGTCACCAAATGGGCTCCAAAAGTGCCAAAGTTAAATGATTTAAAGTTATTGGCCCGAAGTATATGATCCGGTCCAATTAGAAAATCGCATAACCTAGCCCTACTACCGGTGTATACCAATTCATCCCATCTACCATATCCGTCCACCGCTCGTCTCTCAGCCAGACGGTCGTACGTTATATTGTTCCCAGCTCCTCTTCACCGCAGTCTACACCACGCCGTTCGTCTAATATCCCGAGGTTAGTTGATTCTTACTAACTGTCTTCTTCTTTTATCGCATATTGTTTTGTTTGTTCGTACATACCTTTTTATATCTTATCAGCTTGAATAGATCAAGCTTAGAGGGTGTTCTTGAGGTTCGTTCTTTATCCGTTATTTCAGTTAAACGATGAATAAGCTGTAACTTAATGACCAACCTATACGCCGGCAGTGTTGCCTTAGTACGGAGGATAGCCAAAATCTGCAGATTAACTGTGAGCACGTGTCACATCATTCCGTGACGCCATCGTTGTCAGGCGGGAACAGTTATCCAGGCGGTCCAGCTTTGATATATATAGAGATTATATATTTTTATTCATAACAATCCAATTATTTTGCATCACTGTATGTTCATTACAAAATAGGAGGTATCCGTTACATTAGGAAAGCGGCATTGTTTCATTAATGTTGTTTGGGATAATGTTTTGTGTAGAGATAATGGATGTTTTTTTAACAATTTGAACAGTGTTAGTTCATTTGAACAGTGTTAGTTCATTTGAACAGTGTTTGGATGTGGATGATTTTTAAAACGCTCGACTTTTGTTTTCTGGGATTTGTGAGTTTTGCATCAAATAATTCTTTACGTACTTTAGTAATGAGCATATGTGCTTGACTTTCTTTACAGGAAATCGCACCTAGACTTTTGCAGCAAATTTGGCACAGAAAATTGCACATAGATAGTTAAGAATATGAGGCCGATATTGATGAAAGGCCATGAGAGGCCACTAACATTTCTCAAGTACAACCGAGAAGGTGATATACTCTTCTCATGTGCCAAAGATCACAATCCAACTGTTTGGTTTGCTGACAACGGCGAGCGCCTAGGAACTTACCGTGGTCACAATGGAGCCGTTTGGTGCTGTGATGTCTCTCGTAATGTCTCTCTCTCTCTCTCTCTTAGTCTTTCCCTATCGGTGTTTTTTCTTGTCCTTTGTTATTAAATCAGTGAGATTGACTACTCACTGAGTAGTCACTATACAGCCCTAAACCTTGCTGAGTTGTCCTCCTTTGTCTAATTATAGAAACTGAGCTACCTGGCTAGTATTGGCAAATTTAGTGACTCTTTGAGTCCGGTTACTCAGCGAGCAATTGGGTCTTGATTAAAGTGGATAAACATTAGAATTTGGTCATATGAAGTTAAAAAAATAAGGACTGGTGATACGGATAGCAGATAGAGGATTATGGTGGAAAGACTTCAAACTGCACTATAAATATAGTGGGTAGCATTGCACTAAATAGCTTAAGTATAGCATTGCAGCACAGCCAGATTTTACAAAGAAGTTTGCATTTCTAATCTTCTTCATCATAGGAATCTAGGAAACTTGGTATTTTTACCTCATGGTTAGGATGATATATGACATTGTATTTTCATCGACAGTTTTACCCCAAAGCACTATAACACCGAATGACTTCTATTAGGATTTGCAGTGCATGTTTTATCTATATTAATATTTGATCTTAAAAAAGTCCAGATTTGAGCCTTTGAGGTTCTTAGTTTTTTTTGAGTGCAAAGTTAAAGAAAGGGAAACTTGTCAAATTGGTCCTCACTATGTTAAAAACCTCAATTAGGTCTTCGTACTTTAAAATCAATCAATTAAACCCTTGAACTATGAAAAAACACTCAATTGAATGATTTAGGCTGTAAAGAACCGGTTTTCCGGTTAAACGCTGACATGGTCTGCCATGTGTTTTCTTAATGTTTTCTATATTTTTTTCAATCTATTTTGTCTTTACTTTTTCTTTTCCTATTTTCATTTTCCCCTTTTTCATTCTCTCTTCCTGTGGCTTTCTTCTTCTTGAGCTCCTTCTAACCCAGTCTCCACCTGTATCAGACATTTCGCTATGTCTATCTTCTTTTCTACCAACCATTTTATCGTTTGTGGAGCTCGCCCAGTTTACAGATGCACATGTTGAAAGGTGCGGCGGGATGATGGTCAGATGGGAGGTATCCGGCAAGATCTAGCAAGGAATTGAAGGGACCATCAGAAGATTCAGAAGGGGTATGTCATATGTAGATGGATGCTGGAAGAAGAAACAGCTGGACCAAGGTAGTCAAAGTCGAAAGGCGCACCTGAAGCGCTAGGAGTCTTCTAGCGCCTGAGGCGCAAGGCGTAAAAAAGCGCTCGCCTGACTCGGGTGAAGCGCGTTACTTATATAAAATCACATATACTATTCTATAATTACCAAATATGATGTATGTAACATCATATTGAACCAAATGCATAAAAAAGCTAGGATTCACCAAAATAAAGTCATGATTCACAAAAATAAAAGTCCAAATTTAGAATTCATGGCTTTAATACCTTTTATAAGAACTTAAAAATATACCTTTAACTGTGAGTATTATATAGTATTAAGCTATTAACTATTAACTATATTAACTATATTAACTATATAATCAAAGCAGAGTACTATGAGTCTATGAGTATTATTTACATACTATAAAAGCTGGAATTAGTTAATAGTTAATCAAAGCTGGAATTAGTTAATAGTATTAACTATAAACATATGTCTTTAACTATGAGTATGATATACATACTAATATACTACAAAAACACAGAGCAGAGTACTTTGAGTATTATATACATACTAATATACTATCCTCTGTATCTCATTAATTGCAACATTGGAATATATACACTATTCATGTACTTTACTTTGACTACATTTTATTTATTAATGTATGTGAATTATGTTTTTTGAATTTTTTTGTTAAATTCATCTCATTACTAAGTTTTATAATCTAATTTTTATTTTATTTTTACTAATACAGAATTAAATATAATGGCTGTCAAAGTTGTGCGTTGGTAAACGTGAAATGTCGACTGTTGCAACTAAAAAGAGATGGAGGAAGTACTAAAAACTCACAAAGCAGAGTGCTATGAGTATTATATACATACTAATATACTAAAAAATAAAAAACCAGATTACTAGGAGTATTCAGCGTCGAGTGAGGAAAGCTAGGAGAGTGAAGAGCGAGAATGGCTAGCGATGATAGCTGTACTGTCTTGACTCTTGTGCAAGTTTTACATGGGTTTTACGTAGTTTTACATGTACTTTTACGTGGGTTCAACTTTCTTTACCCTATTGTTTTCATGGGCTGAGTGCTATTAAAGATATATGGGCTAATTGTTTTTCAAAGTTTTAAACCCAAAAAAGGTTGTTAGCCTTTTCCGTCTCAGGCGACCCAGGCGTGCGCCTCATAGCGCTTCAGCGCTTCCTGCGCTTAGGCTGTGCCTTACCCTGGTATGTGCGCTTCTCCTATTCTCAGGCGCTGGGGATGTAGGTCGCTGCGCCTTGTGCGCTTAAGCGCTGGGGCGAGCGCTTTTGACAACCTTGAGCTGGACGGTGATTTCCGGTAAGGAAGGGACGTTCATGCGGTAGATATTCGACATTGAGGGAAGGGTAGGTGGCGACGAGCTCACCGGAGTCCACAGGGTTCTCTGATCTTCTTGAATCCGGACTCACCGGAGACAACAGCAGTGCCGGCCGCCGCCAGATTTGCATTTTCTGCTACTGCCCATCAATGCTAGCCGCTGCCGGAAGTTCACAATCTTCACCGGAAGGGGTCAATGCTTCATTCGCTGAAAGATGCCAAAGCTTCATTCGCAGAAGGGAACACACCCGCTTACAAGCAAGAAAAAAGAAAGGGAAAAATCAGAAAAAACAATACTTTAACGTGGGCTGCCACTCGGGCAGGTAACCGGAAAACCACTGGTTTACCTCTTAAATCGTTCAATTGAGCATTTTTTAAGAATTCAAGAATTCAATTGGGTCCTTCTAAAGTACGAGGATCTAATTGTCTTTTCTTATATAGTAAGGGGACCTACTTGATAGTTTTTCCCATCAGTTTCATTAGCAAACATATGTAAAGTGTGTATTGAGCGGGATTGACCATATATAATTTAGTAACGATTAGCTGGATATTTGTTTTACCATGGTTTGTCTTTTCTTGTATACAGGCGACTCAAGCAGACTAATAACTGGAAGTGCGGACCAAACAGCCAAGCTCTGGAATGTTAAGACTGGCACTGAGCAGTTCACATTCAAATTTGACTCACCATGTAGGTCTGTTGACTTTTCTGTTGGTGATAAGCTTGCAGTTATTACCACTGATCCATTCATGGAGCTTCCTTCTGCTATCCATGTAAAACGAATTGCTAGAGATCCGGATGATCGTAAGTTTCTGCAGTTGTGATTTTCTTTTTTTAAGAGACTGTTGGGATAAGATATGGTATACATGCTTTTATCACGAGTGCTTTCCCATTTTTAGCTCTTCAGATTATTTTATGAAAAACACCAAGCTGTTGCTTAGTTGAATAAGGCATTAGAGGTGATTATTTCACTGTTAATAGCCACTTTTCCATTTTCTTCCCAAACTCTTTTTTTGGAAGTTCAAATACTTTTCTTCCTCTAAAATGAACTTTTTCCTTCATATGTAGTTATCCCAAATGCTCTCCAAGTATCAGATATGAGAGAGTTATATTATTTTAAACTCAGGTACTGTATTTCAAATGAGATGAATTCAATACTGTTTCAGAAACTAGTGAGTCTGCGCTGATCCTTAAGGGCCCTCTGAAGAGGATCAATAGAGCTGTTTGGGGACCTTTGAATAAAACTATTATAAGTGGCGGTGAAGATTCTGTTCTTCGTGTCTGGGATACTGAGGTATGTTCATTATATTTTGTTTTGTGAGTAACTTGTGATGCCTAATATGGTTTATTTCTTTACTTGAAGCCTGGAGTTTTGACCATTTAAAAAAATTGGTAGACAGGAAAATTACTCAAGGAATCTGATAAAGAATCTGGTCATACAAAGGGGATCACTTCTCTTGCAAAATCTGCAGATGGTTCGCACTTTATAACTGGTTCATTAGATAAATCAGCAAAGGTAACTTGTCCGTCAACCTTGTTGACGTGTTTCTATTTCCGTTGCCCAGGCTTTTATGTCATGCTTGGAACATGGAGAATGGTAGAAAAGTATGAATGTAATTTGTTTTTATGTTTATGCTTACTCGTTTACCTTGTGAAATAAGGAAAATAAAATTTGTGTACAATTTGTTATGTTTTACGTTTTTTTCTTGAGAAAATGCCGAAAAAAGATTTCTTAAGTTTGAAATATCCAATTTCCCCTCTATTTGCCATCTTATCTTTGTTCTGTAGCATTTTTGGGTTCTGAACAATTAATAATTTCATTTTCCTTGCTGACTAATATATATACTCTGTACTTGTGTTCTAATGCCAGCTTTGGGACATCAGAGACTTGACGCTTCTTAAAACGTATGTCAGTGAGCGCCCAGTAAATGCAGTTACAATTTCACCATTGCTGGATCATGTATGTAATTACACACAAGTGATCTCAATGCAATATATGTTCAATTGCTTTACTTATCAGACAATTAGTGTTGAATATTTTTGTTTGAAACTTGTTCAAAATACTCTCCATTTTGTGTGTGTGCCTTGCCCTGTTCTGTCTTATTCTCTCATTGGTAAGTGAATCTTAGGTGTTAGACCAATTAATTAATGTGAATATTAAATGAATGTTTCCCAATCTAATGCAAAACTTGTGAATATTAAATGCATCTTTCCCAATCTAATGCAAAACTTCTGCTGCTTTTGTTTACTCACATTTTTATGACAATATGTTGAGGTCACACATGTCAATATGCGTGATAGCTATTGGCTACCTAATGGTTGCTGCTGCCAAATGTCACTCGGTGCAATTTGGATGAACACACTGAATATGTGAACTTTGTGTTTCAAATTGTAAATGGATGGGATTGGGGTAGAAGTTTCAAGCTAATTGTACAAAAACTCAACCGTGAGAATAAAAATTAAATACATTTCGCATATGATAAAATTCTTTATCATAATGTTCTAGCATTGTAGATTTTTTAGAACAGAACCGACTGTTGCAAACTGAATCAATTGACATTTGTTTGCTAGATTTTTCCATTAACTTCTTTGGTGTGCTTTCCTTGCAATGCAGATTGTGCTTGGAGGCGGTCAAGATGCAGTAAATGTGACACAGACTGATCATCGTGCTGGGAAGTTTGAGGCTAAATTCTATGATAAGGTTAGCAAATATGAATAGTTCTGGCCTTCTGGGTGTACCACAGAAGTTGGTAGTTATAGTTACCGCGTAATGAAGCATGTGATAAGAGTTTACCTTTCTGGTGTTACTTAGATTCTTCAAGAAGAGATTGGTGGTGTCAAAGGGCACTTTGGACCCATTAATGCTTTGGCTTTCAACCCTGATGGGAGAAGGTGACATTTTCATGTGCTATTAAAACATGCCATTTATTATACTTGATTGCAGTCTCTTGAACGAAGTGTGGGTGTTAATTAAATTTGTCTTATTGGTTTCAAATTCAAAACTTCAGTCACCAAGTTCCAAGACAATATTTTGTTGTGGTAAATTTGGATAAAAGTTTCATATTTTAGTTATTTAGTATGTGATTGCCTAATTTAAAAGAATTAGAAATAATCAGTAAGTCTTGGGAGTTGGACACCTTTTAATCTATAATCTTGTGTTTACCTACAGTTTTTCAAGTGGCGGTGAAGATGGGTATGTGAGATTGCATCATCTTGACGCTGATTACTTTCATATCAAGATTTAAGGATTAAGCGCTGCCTGATGAGGAAATACAAAAGAAGTGTTATGCTGCCAGTTTTTGATTGTATTCGTCAAGATATTATTATCTAATGTGAAAGTACATTTTTGGAGGTTTTGAAGACTTTTTGTGTGTGTTCTGTTGAGTATCTTCAGGCCGCAACTTTTTCATTGGTACTCGCTCCGTTTTCCCCATCTCAGTTGGGGTAGGCACTATTCCTCACACTTTTTTAACACGTGTTCAGGTTAATTCAAGAATGGTTATACATGACCCACTGCAACTAGGGATGGACTCGGGCCGGGTGGCCTGACCCGGAACCGGCCCGGGACCGGTACTGTTCCGGCCCGACCCGACCCGGTGGCCCGGTCAGTGACCGGTCCGGGTAGGCCCGGCACGTGGGTTTTCTGGTCCGGGCTCTGGTCACCCAAAACAAGGCCCGACCCGGCCGGGCCCGGTTCGGGCCAAAAACTATTTTTTTTTCAATTTTTTTTACATTTTCGGGTTGGGCTGGGTATTTTGGGCCATTTGGGGGGTTGGGGGTGGGAGGGGGGTTAATTAGGAAGAGGAAAACAAAAAAAATATAATGGGCCCGGCCCGGACCGGACCCGGTGGTTACTTGGGCCGGTCTCGGGTCCACCATTTCTGACCCTCCGGCCTGCCCGGGCCTAGGCCCGACCCGGACCCGGCCCGGACCCGAGTCCAACCCTAACCGCAACCGTGTGGATCCTGTCTTCAGTGACACGGTTCCATTTTTCTTTCCTATTATAGATAAATAAATAATGACATTAACGAAAATATACTACTTCAATTAAATCATTTCGTATATTAATCCTTTGATGACTTTTATTTACAATAGGATAAGAGGGAGTGACACACAAATCAATAAAAAGTGGTTTATATGGTTGATATTGAATTGATAAAGTAAGAATAAAGTAAGAATGATTTAGAGCCACACAAATTTTACCAAATTTGGTATGGGTCAATCTTAGTGAGATGGACCGATAAGGTAAAAATGTAAAATAGGACCATCATAGTGGGACGGAGGTAGTAATATTTTAATAAATTATATTTCATATAGCATGTTGAATGTATTATCTAAAAAAAGTTGATGTATAATGATCAAAACAGTTTTGCAATGGATATGTTTTTTTGGTGAGGAAAATGGATGTGCGTAGGGGTGGACTAAACCAAGCTGAATCGGCTCGTGAACCGGACCGGCCCGTGAACCGGACCAGCCTGCTACTGTGTGGGCCCGGACTAAGATCGGATGGCCGGTTCCGGGCTTTAGCCCGGGTTTGCCGGAACTGACGGCCCGGGCTCGGGCCATGTTTTTCTTGAACCGGCTCGGGCTCGGGCCTTGTTTTTCTTGAACTGGCCCGGTTCATTTTTTTTGTTTTTTCATTTTTTTTTCTTTTCCTTGGGTAGGGTCGGGTGTTTTGGGGAGGTTTGAGGGGGGGGGGGGGTGACTGGTGAGGGGTGGGGGGGGGGGGGGGTTCAGGGGTTAATTAGAAAGCAAAAAGAAAAATTATACATTGAATCGGCCTGGACCGGCCCGACCCATACCGGCCCGACCCGGTTTGGCCCGGACCCGGTATCAACTCGGGCCGGTTCCGGGCCCAACATCTGCAAAAAAAAGCCCTGCTAAAACCGGCTCAGAGCCCGGCCCAGGCTCGGTCCATGTCTAATTGGGCCGGTTCTACCTGGCTCGGGAATCGGACCGGCCTGCCGTTGTTCGAGACCGACCTGACCCAGTTTCCCGGATCAGGCTCGGGCCTAGGCTCAAACCGGGGGTTTTTGGGCCGGGTCACGGGTTTGGGGTTCTTTGGTACCGGCCGTGTCGGGCCCAGTTCGGGCTATTTTTTTTTTGTTTTCAAATTCTTTGGGAGGTAAATGGGTTGGGCTGGGTGTTTTGAAGGGGTTTGAGGTGTGGGGAGGGGGTAGGAAGTGAATAGAAAAGCGAAAAAAAAAACAAGGTACCCGGCTCGGTCCAGGCTCGGTAGAATCCTGGGCCGGTTTCGAGCCTTAACCCAACATAAAAAGCCCGGTTTGGACCGGCCCAGAACCGGTCCATGCCTAGATGTGTGTATGCAAATGTACAGATGTTATTAAAAATAAGGTAGATTCTATAGTACTCATAAAGTATCGTACCTTTGTCCACATGTACCAATGAAAGTGTTGCAGTTGAATTATTTAAGTCTAAATTAAAAATGATATACCTATTTGGACCAATCAAATGAATGATAGGTACGGTATCCCATTTTTTAAAGGAGTACAAGAGTTGTCACCTAAAAATAATCAAGTGATAAAGTGACTTTTCACTGTATTAATAATGGCACACACTAAATTTTTATCAAGTACTTGAGTAGTTATTTAAAAGCAGAGTACTGTTTTCAAAAATTTAAGTGCATACTACTACATCCTTTACAAAAAATTTGTCAATTTGATTTTTCTTGTTCAATGATTTTAGGTATTATATTTGTATATAATATATAAATTTTATATTTTTATGAAATATTTTTTAATAAGGAATATGTTCATAAAATTTTCATATTTTAAATAATTGTGTATGAAGATAGATCACTTGTCAAATTTGATCAACAAAAGTCAATATGGCCATTTTTGTGGAACAAAGGGAGTAAAGCCATTTTTGTGGAACAAAGGGAGTAAAAGAAAAATGACAACTTTTATCAAATAATTTGTGCTTTGATGTCATCATTGTGACCTTCTCAAAGAAGAGGTCATTATTTCGCTTTTAAGTTTTAACGTAGAACACACACACACATGCATAGGGATGGACTAAACCGGCCCGGCCCGACCTGGAACCGGCCCGACCCGTTACTGTTTGGGCCCGGATCGGACCGGGACCGGTTGGCGGTTCTGGGCTTTTAGCCTGTTTCGGCGGGTCGGGCGGGTCGGGCTCGGGCCCAATTTTTGATGAATCGGCCCGGTTCAATTTTTTTTTTCATTTTTTCTTTTCTAGGTTAGGGTTGGGTGTTTTGTGGGGGTTGGGGGGTGGGGGTGAAGGGGGGGGGGGGTCGGGTGTTAATTAGAAACAAAAAAAAAAAATTGAACTTGACCCGGGCCCGGCCCGGACTCGGTATCAAACCGGGCCGGTTCCGGGCCCAACATTTTGCAAAAAAGCCCGCCCGGGCCCGGCCCAGAACCGGAACTGGACCGGCCCGGGTCCATCCCTACACACACAGAATGAGAAGAATGCTTATCGTAAGAAGTGAGAATGCATTTGGTGCGTTCAATTTAAGATCTGTGCATCAGATTAACAAAAAAGTGCACGAGAAAATGCAAAAAATATTAAAAAAGTGATGTTAGACGCGGTGGCATTTCCGTAATTAGTCATAACTTTTCTGCCATCGCAAAAAGTGCATCAGATTAGCAAAAAAGTGCATCAGAAAGAGGCAAATGTAAAGCTTCTCACTTATCACGTTATAGGGAGTGGTTCCGGTAAGAACGGACTCCCAGGAGAGAATTGAGAATGAATCTGGACCGTTGGGTTGTATTATGTGGAACTGCATTGTGCATTTGATGAAAGAGATATTTCCCTAAATAGGACTCTTAATTAATGATTAGACAAATTTGCCCTTATGTAAATAAAATCCCGTGCATCTGCATCTTTGAGTCCTTAGCTCCTTGCAGCGAGACCTCCAGACCACCGACACCACTCATACCCTTTTCTAGCCACCAACGTCAAGACCCCCGCCGCCACTGCCCAGCAAGGCCGCCGCTGCCGCTGCGGCAGATCGATCGCCCCAAATGTCTTCCGCATCTCATCTTCGCTTCCACGCTCTACTGCTCAGGTCAAAATATTTCCAGGTAACTTCTTCTTCTTCTTCTTCTTCCTCTTCTTCCTCTTCCTCTTCTTCCTCTTCCTTTTCCTCCTCTTCCTCTTCCTCCTCTTCCTCTTCCTCCTCTTCTTCTTCCTCCTCCTCCTCCTCCTCCTCCTCCTCCCCCTCCTCCTCCTCCTCCTCCTCCTCCTCCTCCTCTTCTTCTTCTGGAAGAAATCCACCTCCCCTGTTCCGTTGCAAAAGACAAGCTGACAGGGTATGTATGTGCTTATGGAGTTCTCAGTTCTGGTTATGGGACATTGATAATGCCTTGATTACTTATTGTTAAAATATACGAAGTATTTTACTAGGTTTGGAGCTAAAATTGATTAAGTCAATAAAGTTTGCTAGATAAATCCTTACGGGCTTACAATTTTAACGTGATGTATATGTCTGCTAATATCTATCTCTCGATATTTAGTGGAAGGGTAGACGGCCCATTTTGATTTTCAATTTATTTATAGATTTGTACTCTGTAATATGTGTGTGTGTGTGTTCTACATGAGGAGTGCTGAAATGTTAGTTGCCTAAAAAGTTTAATTTAGTCTCCGTGGAGCAGATTGCAGACCTTAGCCACACATGAGCATTGAGCAACCCTTTGCCTCCCTGAGTTCATGGTGTAGTTTTATTTTATTGCATGTCTCTCTTAACTTGTTATACACAGTTACACACACACACATACACACACACACACACACACACACACACACACACACACATATATATATATATATATATATATATATATACACACACACACCAATGCACACCGGTAGTTTTTAAGTGTCTTTTATGATGTAACCCTTAGGGTTAGTGCTTCCCTACGTCCTACGATCCATACCACGTTTCATGATATTGTTCAAATGGAAGAAACGATGAATACTCAGTTCAGTTGATTGCCAAATCAAAACAAGCAGTTAATGATTGAGGTTACTTCACTCATGAAATCCAAATACTCCAAGTATTTTGGGAAGCTCGGTGATTTGAATCCTCTAATTATTATTGGTCTAGTTTTAGATCCACGGTTTAAACTAAACCATGCGAAGGAGATTTTAGATGAAGATTTGCTATGGGGTCCCCTTGAGGTGGAAAAAAAAGTTAGTGAAATCAAACAATTATTGTTTCTTTTGTATAAGGAATATGAAGAAAATAACGTGAAGAAGAGACAAGCTCCTAATAGTAGTTCTAATAACTTGCAAGTCAAAACACAAAAATTGAATGAAGGAAGTAGTACAGAGAAGAGCAATTCATCCACAGTCGTAAATAAATATGTGATGAAGTGGAGTAAGCGGGTAACTGAGAGTGAAGAGGATGTGTTGGAGCATGAGATCGATCGATATTTAACAGATAAAGTGATGGCTATTGGGAAAGAAATGGTGGTGAGGGGACAAGTGCAATACATGGATCAACTTATTTTTCAGCACAAGAATT